TCCAGAGACATCTAAGTTCAGTGTCAAGACCAAAAGTCAAGACAGCTGGCTTGGAATACAGTAGATGACCTTAGAGTCTTTGATGTCTAAGCTCTAAGTGTTCCGTAGCACCGCTTTCATGGCTGTTGGAACAAATTGTTCTCATCTACCCATTCCATCCAGGGAAGTCTTCACATGCTTGGGGTAGAAACCCCCTAATTCACTGACAGGTTTGAGGGCTGTTGGTTATCTTCAACCTGGTTAAGCCCATCTGCCAAGACAATTTGCACATATAGCATGCTTGCACAGCTACAGCTTTTTGGAGTCACAAGTGAGAGTTGGATGAAAGATCAACACCAAAAATAGATAAGCAGCTCTGCAAAGGGCTCAGCAAGCCCTCATACCACAGGTGCTAGTCCTCCCTGAATACTCCATATACCCCATCCTATCTTGGTACTTTTACATTAACTACACTTTGTCCCTGAAATGCATGCCTTCCATCATTTCCATTTCCTACAATCTCCATTTTTCTTCAAGGCTCAGCTCAAGCATCATCTTCTACATGAATCCTAACTACTAGAATCTCTTTCCCCAAACTCACAACATGCAAATATTTCACATACTTTTTTATTCACATGTGTTCTTCCCCAAGACAACAGAAGATACTTAAGGGCAGAAATAGTTTGGTTTTGTCTTTCTATCTCCAGTGCCTGTCATATGGGAATAGGGACTGGATTGTGACTCCTTCTGGGTCTCCCTCTCTTACCAGATTCAGTACAATGCTTTTTTCATTAAACCATGTGAAGAAAATAGATGTGAAGGTCCTTAGAAAAAGTTAAGGAGTTATACTGACACAAAATATCATCATCATCATCATCATTATTAATTACTAGCATCATGATCATCTCATCTTTTTTTTCCAATAGTGTTCAGATAAAAACATTCCTGAGACAAGTCTCTACCTTCATATTATTTTTTTTTGTATTTAATGTTTAATAGAAAAAAAAGAACTGTTTTTGTAGTTTAATACAAGTATTAGGATGTAAACTCATGCCTTGTAGGGTTAATGAAAGCATCTTCAGTGTGTCTCCAGTAACCCACAGTACAATAGGGATGATATGTGCATCATTCTGTTCCTATGTAAGATGATCTCCTCTGCTAGGTTTCTATATTTTAAAAAGCTGTCATTTCCTGTTGCTTGGAAATTACAAGCAGTTAGTCTGGTAACATCTATTTAAATTCTTTTTAAGTTTTTATGGATCAATATTATCCATGCAACAGTTTGCTGTATGATGGTAGTCCAGTTCATAGGTCGAGTTCTCCAGAATATTTCAAGGTATTTCAAGGATAAGGATTTGTCTTCTGTCATTTCAAGAAAGGGAATGATCTTCAGATGTATAATTTTGGCCAACTGGTTATGTCTTTTTAACTATTCAGTAGGTGCTAAAAAATTTTTTACCTTCTTGCTCATTTTCTACCATTTCCTTACAAAATCTACATTGATCACTAAATTACTCTCATATAACTTATATATAAATATATTAATGATAAATATGTTAATATAAAAATAAAATTACTCTTATTTATAATTATATATAAGATCTTGCATATATCTTATATATTATATTTATGTCAGATATATAAGATCTTACATATATCATATATTATGTCTATATGTCTTATATATAAGATATTACAAATATCTTATATATATATCTACATATGTTAGATATAATATTATATATAAGATCATACATATATATCATATATAATTATATATGCTCTTATATAAATTATAAAATTACTCTTAGTATAACTGGTCTAGTAGATGAATTATGTTAAACTCAAAAAGGGCTTTTAAGATTTCAACATATCTCTTATTCAAAATCATTTAAGTCATTGGTATTGTTTTGATCTGTTTCATTATTAACTAGACTTTCTGGAGTTTGGCAGTTAGTGCAGATTTTCAATGATCTCAGGTTCTTCAACCTTTCCTTCTTCAGATTTTAATAGCTCTTCAATTTTATCTCTTGTTTTATTCAATCAAAGCTTAATTATTCCTTATGATTGCCATTCACTGGCCTGTAGTATTTTGTTGTGTGACTTGGATCAGAAGATATTATTGGTAGAAAGGAGCATGAAGCCCTTCCCTAAAACTGGTAAGATCTGTTTCTAATTTGGTTATGATATATAGTACATTTGTATAATGAAAGTATTCATATCTTCAGTCCATTCATACACATTCATGGCTTGCCTATTTTAATGGTCAGGGCCATATGCACTAAGGTATTTCCAGCAGGTGGGGTATTGTCATTTTTTATAAGTTCCATTATAGCTTGCCTTCTTATCATACTAGACTATGAAGGTACTACTCTACCATTACTCTACCATTCTCCACTCTACCATTATCACAACAATTGGAAGACCAGACTGCAACCCAATGCCAATCTATCTATTTCTTTGGCACTTGGAAGCAGTTGCAACACACTGACCAGAATGTTAACTGAATCTGTGGTATCACCAGCACCCAAACTGCCAGTATTTCCAGGTTCTAACCAGGCTGTTCCTGCCTGGGCCTGACTCAGGCCAACTTCCTAATAGTGTAGTTTGGGTATTGGAACAAAATGAACCACTTGAAAATCATTCAACAGTCAAGAAAAGGAGATTTATTTAGCCATAGCCGTAAAAGGGCATTCAACAAGAATAGTCATTGAGGCTACCTTGATTTGATTTGAGTGATACTGTATTGCTTGATTTGCCATCATTTTTTACCAGTAAAGTATCAAACAGGGTGCCTGGAGCTTTTTGTGGGTGTTTTGCACTCAGTCAAGAAGTGATGTCAACATCCTGAGCCTTCAATGAACCTACCAAGTCTCCAAAATGACCTCCTTTTAAGGAAAAACTTGCCTAACTTGCATGGGAGGAGGTATTAGGATATTGCTTCTACAACTTTCTAGTCCTTGGTGATAAAGGCTTCTAAACAATAAGTAAACTATATTTTTATTTATTTTGCTAAACATTTCCCAATCATATTTTAATCTGTTTCAGATAGCATAAGCTGTTGGCAGGCACCTTTGTCTAGAGGACCTTTTGTTAACTTAAATCACTTTAGGGTCATTGTGGTCAACCTAGATTTCCAGTATTCAAGAAGCCTGATAAAAGCATCACTAAAGGAGAAGGGGGGGGGGGGAACCATGTAACAACTCCCTGAAGGAGTGACTAAACCTGGAAAAGTGTCAGGAAGGACAGAATCTCAGGTCTAAATGATCGAGTCTATGTAATGGGTAATACCAAATTTTTGCAGTTCATAGTGGGTCTCTCAATGTAAAAAGATGACCAGAAACAGAAGCAGAAGCAGGAATACCAGAACAATAGCAAAGATGATGACACTTTCTTCAAAATCATTCATCTTCATCATAGACTGCCTCCTCCCTGAGAATCCCATGGTAAGGGAAGAGATAATACAAAATCTTCACCCCAAGAGAGGACTCTGAGGGAATGCCCCCTTCTTGTTTGTAGGGGCTGGTTAGACACTTTCAATTATCTCTTGTTGCCTGAAAGCAAACCCCTTCCCAATGATGCCATCATAAAATGATCACTAAGTGTTGCTCAGAGCAATATGAAGGGACCAATCAGTTTTACATTACAGGAAGCAATGGGCTACCATGGAGCAGCCTTTTGCCCCTGTGGCCAGGAGCCACTCAGCCTCTGAGGCCTGTATCTACACCCATGAATCCCCTGGCTAACTCTTCTAGAGCTCTGATCCGTGCTGTTGCCAGCACCGCTGGGGCCCAGCGCCCACTCTGCCAGAATCAACCACCAACCCCCTGTGCCAGGGCATGAAAAATGCCCCTACTGGGGCCTGAGCTCTTCTGCCCTGGGCTGGGACAGAGTATTGCAGTAGGAACAGGCATTATCTTTAAACCTTCCATCTTTAAATCTATGACATACTACAGTGTAGAGATTTTGATCTGTACCATTGGAGGGCATACCGATCCCAATTTAACTTGAGATCTATCAGATTGCTAAACCATTATACAGGATGTCCCCCAAAGTCTCAGTAATAATTGGAGAGATGAAACGGCATAAAGACTTTTGGGACGCCCTATATAATACTTTAGTAATCTGATAGATCTAAGGTTAAATCTGTATAAGTATTCCTTCCAATTATTATTTAATAACTTGGAGTGCTTCTAAGCAATTAAAGCTTAAAGCAGCACTAAGACTTTTGGGAAATCCTGTATTATCAAGTCGGCTCATCTCACTCCAGTATCAGTGAACCTTGCCTCCCCTCCCTCCTCCCATTTTCCAAAATGAGCTGGACCTAGAACACCCTGCACCAGAGCAGGAAAGGAAGAAAAGACAAGAGCTCAATTATTAGTATAAATCTGAGCAGCTGCGGATGAGGAAAAAGCTGTTTTATTTTAAAAGGGGAAGGCAGAGTTAGAAGGACCTGAGTTCAAATCCAGCCTCAGACACTTAACACTAGCTGTGTGACCCTGGGCAAGTCACGTAACCCCAATTGCCTTAAGAAAGGAAGGAAGGAAGGAAGGAAAGAAGGAAGAAAGAAAGAAAGAAAGAAAGAAAGAAAGAAAGAAAGAAAGAAAG